GTCATAATCATGTCTTGTGATTATTTGACAAGAGTTTTACTTTTATACTTTAAGTGTATTTAATTCAGTTATTATGGAAATACAATATGCATAAAAAGACGTAGAATATTTATCATTTTAATCCGTACATTGGTAATGMCTGACTTGACCTCGTGCCTCTTTGTGTTCAACAAAATGGGCCCTGAGGTCAACAAGGTTAAGAACATCTGATCAACTTTACCCTAAAATGGAAATGTCCATTTTTTTTAATGCATTTGAGGATTTTGTTGTATTGGTCATAAAATGTCTTCTCCTTACCCTGCTGAGAGCCAGGAGAAAGTCCATCCCACCAGATCTTTTCACACAGTGTCTTAGTTTCCAGTACACCAGGTGCTCCCAGGCAAAAACCAGGAGACTGAGGCCCATGGCCACCAGCAGCATGTAGAAAACACCTGCCATGTTATCAATGTCCAGCTTACTACTCATCACCTATGAGGAAAACAAACAAAAAAAATCATGAAAAACAGTGCTTTTAGATAAAATACACTTTTGGAAACTGCCAGAACAAAAAACTTGGTTTCTAATGAGGCACAATTTTTGCAATAGGATATATAATGTTTTATCTTTTTTTTAAATTTATGAAGCAACAGCTTCAGGGGAGAAACCAACTCAGTCAATCTCAAGATGTTCAGAGTCAGCCCCCCCATACACACACACATTCAGTATTTCGTGGAGGTTGACCCTTACTGTGAGAGTGTAGGAGGATCCAGTAGAAGACGAGTACATGAAAAGTGTTGCCATTAGGCTCAGCTTTTTCTTCACCATGACAGACTGAAGCAACATCCTCATTAAAGACTCACCATTAACCGACAGTATTTGACCTTTTTCTGTCTAAAATAAAAGCTGCTAAGTTAATTAAAATCACCAAAGCAACTAAGATTCTTATTGCTCTCCTTTCACATTTAAAAACCTAAGTGTTGCTGGCTCCCAATATGTATTTTTAGTGGTAGGTGATATTTCAAAGAGTTTGCATTTTTGTTAATTTTTTTAAATTTATTTTATTATTATTCAATGACAATAATAATCAGGGCAAAATAGATCAGTATTTCCCAAGAGTGTCTGTTTTGGGGTTTGTATTGCAATCAGCACAACCAAGAAAGTTTGGTAAAATATATCTATTTTACATCCTACTGCATAACTAACTGGTGTTATATGCAGTTCACTGTGAAATCTGTGCAAAAGATAAATGCACATCCAAGAGGGGAAAAACAAAAACAAAAGACCCATACCTCAATTTTATCATTGTGGCAGATTCCAGACAACCAGAGGCGTTCCAACATATCGATCTCATCTAAAAGAACAAAGAGAAAGGATGATGAAGTAGAAGGTCAAACTGGTGAGAATCTAAAAAACAAAACAAAACAAAACAAAACTAGTGTTTCGCAAGGTGTTTTTGTTAGAAAGAGGACACAAAGTTCAAAGGGAAGCTTGAAATTTAAAACAGAATGGAAAAGAAGGAAACAAAACAACCGGGAAGATGAGTTCAAACAGTAAACGACGAAATGAGAGAAAAATGCAAAGAAGAGGATTAACACCTCTTTGTCATAAGATCCAAGGTGCTTATTGGCCTGAYGGAGAAGAAAGAAGTCAGGGGAAGAAGGCTGAAGAGAGCAAAAATGAGGAGGGAGGATAGAGTCTTTATAACAGAGGAAACAAGAAGAGATGATGAAATTTAGAATAGAAAAGAGAAATAAGATTTTTTTAAGAAAAAATACATTTGATGAAAACAAAAAAAGCACAATAAAATATTTAGAAAGATAGACAAAGAGTTATCGAGCAACCCTAGAACAACAACAGACAGAAAGGTAGAAAAACATAAAACTTTAATGGATGTAAGCAGAAAATGAAAAGTTTTAAGATTGAAAATAAGAAATTGGGAATTAGAGGCAGCGACTGGAGGAGGGAGAAGCTCTTTGAAGCAGATTTTGAAATGGCTTGGTATCTGAGACGGGGTGCGCTGAGGGCAGAGTGATGCGACAGCGCATGGGAGATGAAAGGAGGGAAACGCACAAACGTTACATTTTCGGCTCAAACTACATGAAACACACAAACGTGACACACACTCTGAACCCCAGCGTAATGGGACTCTCCGTGCTGGCCATTAATGCATTAATCAAAAAGAATGAGTCTGCTGGAAGGGAATCATGGCTTTTCCTTTCCGTGTGCTGAGGGGCTTATTTAGACAGATGTGCATGACCGTGTGGGAGTGGGYGTTTAAATCAAACCTACTGGCTTAAACATACTCAGAATCTGTCACTGTATAATGCCTGAAGATGCCCCAGTTAAAAGGAGATCCCAAACCCACTAATAAACCGACCTCTGGGTTAATTAACGTCGTCTGGAAACCCCTTCTCGAAGCCACGTCGCATGGATTAAACCGGCACGACTCGGCTGTGTTGACTCAAACGTCAAATCCGCTCAAACAAAACACAAATCGGACTCCAATACAAATCTGTGTGCCAAGTTTGACATCTAAAAGCATCATGGAGAAATTCAAATGCCAGCTTAAGAAAATACACACATATACAGTATATGTTGAAAATGTACTTGTGTCCCTCCAGTGGGTTTACATTGATGCACAGTGAGAAAATAAGCCCCAAGAATTTTAATCCTCTCAATTATATTGTAGGGAATATCTTCATTATTCAATCTTTGCAGAAGAGCATTTAGTTAAGACTATTATCAGCTGGAGCAGCTCTAACTGTAACAGTGTCACCTGCAATACCTTCTAATGCAAGACAGCACAGGAGTTCCTGCCAAATGTTACATAACTGGCTTTCCTCTGAACAAATACCAGTCCCTGTTTCCTGTCCGGCGTTTTTGACCTACATTGTGAGTTTGACAACCGTGGCATTCAAAGCTGTGCAGGTATGGACAAAATATAATAAATTCAATGTATGTGAGCAACAGATTCAAACAGTTTTTGTTTATTTAGATGGTATTGAAAGTATAAAAGTGTCATAACAATCTGCACAGTTGAAAACAAAAAACAAAAAGGTAATTATCATTTACTTGCCAACTACCCTGTATGCAACTTATATACAAATTTAGATAAACTGGTCCTAATCTGCCTGTCTTCACTTTGAAATGTGTACTYATGCAGAATAAATAACAAAAAACTCATAACTAAGTTACACTGCAGTATAAAATCCTCCTCTTTTCTCACAATTTCCTCAACAACTTTAAGTTGTCAGCTAGTCTCCAAAAGTGGTTCCTGGTGAGATACCAAATTTAGTGTCAAAAATGAAAATTGTTGCACCTCAGATTACTCTCCAAAAAAACACACGAGGTGGAAATTTATTTTTAGAGGTAGAGTTCAAGTAGATCAACTGTAGAGCAGTCATTCACAAGCAAGCAGGTTGTAAACATAAAGATATTAGTGGGATAAAAAATACATAAAAATAACGATAATAATCAGTAAAACTGGTTTAGGAGACACGTTTAGATTTATGCTTGTTCAAACTATAAAGGAGCAGTTAAAAGTGATTTTTTTGCCCCCTAAAATAAAACCTAAAATCAATGATCCTCAGACAAAAAAGTGACTTTGTTTTCAGTCAATAAAACGAGGATCAACATCTGCGTCTCAAAGACTCAAAGCTCTTTAAAAAGAATGAGAACAAAACAGAAATCAATTTCCCCAGGCTGTACTGTACTGCGACAGTTTTTTTCCCCTCTATATCCTGTGCCAAAAGCTGCTCATATTCACACTTTCGTTTTATCATTCTTTTATGTGCAAGTGTTTTTTACTGGCTCTGCTCAGTCAGCATGAATCTGTCTGAGTGACACAGAGGAACAGTGTGGTGGAGGTGAACTTTGAATGGATGCTGCTGTGGGACCCTGAGCTCCAATACAATGTCAGCAGTTATAAATGTATACATCCCTGCATCTACGTCTTTTGCAGCAACACTTTAAAGGCAGTTTGTTTCTGAGAAATCTCTTAGAGCCAAGTGGGACTTGACACAGCGGTGCCTCATTTTAAAAAAGGATCTTCTTTTAATCTAAAGTACTGCTGTGCTTCAGGTTCCCTCAAGCTTTTATCTTTATAGTTTGGCAAACAAATAATCAGATAATTCATGTGGTAATAAGCTCCAATCCAGCTGGTAGCTAAAAACACACCTATCAACATGGTTATGCCCAAAGTTAGAGGAGTATTTTTAAACCCATTTCATGATTTCTGGTACTTTCATAACATTTTCAAACACAGATATATATATATATATATATATATATA